TTCTCTGCCCAGAATCAGCTTTTACGAAGGGCTCCCAGCACGGTCAATACGCGCAAGCAAAGTGGAACGCCATGTCCACAGATGTTGATCCAAGACAAAGCCTTTTGCAGTAATAGCCCTGACGGACTGTGTAAAACAACTGCCACTGCATTTTATCTTTTAATCTTCATCTGACAGCCTCTGATTTCAGCAGATCAGTGTTAGCATGTCACATATTAACCACCACTCAACTTGACGGCAATGGCCAACGGCTTCCACATGACGCAGATTTGCTAATACTGTTCAGACTGAACAGCAGCCATTGCCAATTACTGTTTTAATTAAAGACAAATCAAACCATAAAAATTCCTGTTTAGGCAAGACATACTATACCATACTAAAACATCCCGAATAGCTTCTAAGCAATGTGATTGCAATTCTAATGGATTTTCAACTTATCTGCCGGGTGTAAGATCCTCTGGGGCTTGGGCTGTTTGTTTGCAATACCATGCTCCGTGATTATCAAGACAAAATAAACTATCCATACCCTCGACCTCAGAGGCCAGAAGGTACGTGTATTTCTTACACAGAACTAAGGAACAAAACAGAACAGAATTGTTATGGACACCCAAAACTCAAACATCAAGTTTTAAAATACCTGTCAACTTTGACAATGTTCCTTAACTACTGATGTAGTTTATTTTCATAGCTGACAATACCAAGATATCCTCTTGATACAACACTGAGATGTGCCTTGTAAACAAATACGCATTAAAAATGGAAGAGGTTAAATTGTATAGTAAAACATGAGTACATACAAAAATGCTATAAAACAGTAGCAAAAAGTAACTAAAAGATATATGAATAAACCATGGGTAGCCAACGGACCGTCAGAACCGTAGGTTCTGACCTCAGCGCTAGAAAAATGCTACAGAAGTGGATCAGAACTCTGCGCCTGTGCTCACCTGAGAAACTGCATCAACGCGCTAGGCTAGCTCTTTCATCCGCTCTCGACCTGCAGAAGTTCTCGCGTGAAAGTTGAAGTCATGAGGGAATCTGACATTAATGCATCTCACTGCATTTTGAGAAGCTGTGTAAGGGAAGATATGCACATAAGCAGCCTTCACTGTGGTTAAAATGAATACTACAAAACCCAAGAAGAATCTATTTGCTAGATGTCTGAGGTTTGAAAACGTATCAGAGGGAGAAATTATCCCAAACAAACCACTGAACAGCCAAAGCCTTTCCTACTATAATGCATGCTCCATTATACCAAAGATTGCATGGCTACTGAAGTCTTAGGATGCTCTAAGTTAAAAGAAGGAATTCTCAAATTCAAGGAATTTTATCACTTCCTGACCTATTGCAAAATGCAACTTGAATGTGCCAAAGACAGTGCATAGGAATTACATTCAGCCGTCACTGCTGAAGACCGAGTTCTGAAACAAGGATCTAGACTTAAGCTGCTGCTAAGAAAAAACAACACACATTTTCCTGCATCACCCTCATTGCTAGGATCACATTCTCTGAAAACAGGTAAGACAGAACAAGTATGGTTCTATAACCGTAGGGTATTATTAACACGTTTCTGCTTCCATGGATTGTTTCTGCTAGCAGCATGTGTTGCTAGTGGCATCCTGACAGTTCAGGATCTCAAAAAAAGCCAGACGTAGCACACACAGCAACAGCAGTGCAAGCTTTTCAACTCTGCAATACTATTATACAGCAGCAGTGACATGTAAAAGAGATTTCCAGAAGCAGGACAGATGTTCAGCTTCCATGCTCATCCAGTCTAATTCTACCACCATCTATGAATTAACCGATGTAAATATTATCAAGCATTCAACAATACCATGGCTACTTCAGCAACATGAATTGTAATGTAATAAAACATTTCTGTAATGCTGCATTATTATTTTTTTAAACCAACACGGTACTATACCCATATTACAGACTGCTAACATGATAATTAAAAGAGAGTCTATATTAACCCCCACCTTCCCTAC